TTATAATATTTTAAATAAAGAAAGTGGTATGAAAATTGTGAAATTAGTTTTTTTCATTGGAAAAAAAACTGGTGAGTCTGTCTTGGTGATTTAGGATTTCCTGTGAGTGGGTATGAATAGGATATGGGTAGGTGTTTTAGATTGGGAGTTTAACACATTGTAGAGACTCTCAGTCATCACTCTGGTTTTGGGGTTGATTTGCTTTCTGGCATTTGAAATTGCTGGAGAAACTTTAGGAACTGGGTTTTAATGTCCTTACCAGACAAGCAGGAGGTGTAATCTTGGAGTGCATTTGTAGCTGTTTGTGTGTCCCTGCCTGTCACCCTGTTCGGGGTGGGCAGTGTGGGGGCCCCCAGCCTTGGGGTGATGACTTTCTGCAAGCTGTGTAGCTGGCTGCCCTCTGCACCCTGAGAGCAGAGAGGGCACAGCTTCTCCCTGAGTACCCCGGCTCACTCGGTCATGGGCATGCTGCCTGGTGCTGTTTCCTCACAGTCCCTGGAAGAGGCCTCTGCCGACCCTGTGGGTGATGCGGGCAGACATCACAGTGTTTAAACCTGTTTTGATTTGACTTTTTAAGATTTCCACCCAGTCATAACATTAGCTTAGGTACTTTTTAAAGTGTTGTTCCTAAAAACTAACTTTAAATGAAGATTGAGTTGTACTGATTTTGTGGCTTAAAATTTTTTAGCTGTTAGAGGTTATATTTCAGTATCTCTTTGAACTTGAAACTAAAAGATAACTTGAAGTATGCTTTGAGGTGTTAGGTTTCTAACACATGCTTGGTGACTTGTCGGTTAATGGGAGCTCACATGGCTGACTGCTGGGAGATGGGAGGGAGGATGGATGGGCGGGTGAGAGGCCAGTGGGCCAGACTGCAGTAGCACTGTGTGGGGGACCCAGGACGGAGGACGCACTAGATGAACAGAGATGGGTGTTTCTGAAAGGGAGGCTTGAAAGCCCATGGGCTGGGCATGGGGTGGCCAGGCATGGCTCAGGCACTTTAGGAGATTGTAGCACGGGGGGAGCTGAAGAGTTGAGATTCAGGATCACAACGAGCTCAGAGCAGGAACTGGGAAATTTAGTATGTGTGTCATCCAGTTTTTCACGTGTGTGTGTGTGTGCACATGCACGCATGTTCACTGAGTCCATCACGACCACTCAGATGCCAAGATGGGGTTTGTTACCCACCCCATGTGGGGTTTGGTGGCATTCTGTGTGCCCACCTGCTGCTGATGCTTCCACCTGGAGTGCCCTGGAAGAAGAGCCTGTCCCCCAGGGCAGGGACATCAGTGTTCAGCACGTCAGGCTAGGGAAGCCGATGACCAGGGCCATTTTCTATGCTGTTTCTGTCCTATGAAGAGCACAGTATTCATGACCCTCAGAATGTGGATTGGGCTATTGTATGTCATGCTGTGAAATCACTGTGTGTCGCCCTTATGCCACAGACCCAGAGTAGGATGGTGGCCTTGCTTTAGTCATGGTAAGTGACTTTGCTATCATGGATGTGTTTGTCACCAGAAAATAGGAAGTCTGATAGGACGTCAGGGGTTGCTCTAAGCGTCAGCACTGGCCAAAGTCCAGTGGCTCTGCAGCTGTTACGATGCGCCACTGTCCTCAGCTGGACCTGTGAGCACGGAGTTCTCTTAATCTTCCAGCTGTTGTTCTGTCTTATCCCTGCAGCTGTGTCCTTAGGCGCTTCATGGGAACCAGATACTGTTTCCCCCAATTAGATATGTTAGAAAGGAAAAAGATTCTAACATCTGGAATCCTTGCCGTCCCCAAAGAGCAGCAAAGCCAGAAGACCCTGTCTCCAGCCCTCCATGGCCTGGACCCTGCCCCTTGTTTCTTCTTAACACAACAGATACTGAAAGCGAGACAACACAGCAAGAGGAAGAGGTGAGAACGTACTTCACCAGGCACTCTTGGCCAGTTGCTGTTGACCAGGGCAGTCCCTGGGCTGGCAGCTCAGGATCCAGGGTATGTGCTTGTGACTTTGTACTTCAGGGACTACAGGGGCTGGGTGTGACCTCTCAGACTCAGCTCCAAAACAGAGCTCCTGGGTCATCTTAAGATACAGATGCCCAGACAACACCAGAGACTGGCCTGGCCTGGTGCAGCTTGCTGAGCATGCTGGGGTTGGGCCTATAGCCAGGTATCCTGGTTCTGGGGTTTCCATTTTTAAGTCCAGCCTCCTCCAGGGCCTGATAGATGCTCCCTCCACCTAGCATCTTCCCAGTGGTCAGCCCCACTGGGCTGCAACTGCTCCCCTACCTCACGCCTGATTCTGGGCCAGCTCCTTCATGCTCCTGTCCAGCTGCAAGGTGCAGCAAATAATGTCGCTGGCACCTCCAGGGAGCCAGTCAGGGATGTGTGCGAGGCTCTGGGGGCTGCTGGCAGGACAGCGCTGGAGAGCACCCCCTGAGGCTCCATGGCCTCCCCACTGAAATACAAAACCGGGGAGCTATCATAACATATCACAGATCACAACACCCCTGAGACTCCACAGGTATGGGGTTCCTGGCTTTGGAGACCAGCACCAGTGTGCTAGTGGGAAAGACCGTGCCCCTGTGCAGGGGGTGGGTCTCTATGGACACCAGTACAGGTGCAGTGGCGGTGAAGTTGGGGTGGAGGTGGGGGGTTGGTTGGGGGAGCATGCCCTGCTGCTCAGCAGCGAGCTAAGCGAGCTCACAGTAGACACACATCTGTCCAACAGAACTCAGGTTACAGAGGGCCAGCAGGGGTGGGGCCTTAGTGCCAAAGCAGAGGGAGAGCCCCAGAAACATGTAATTTTTGACTGCTCATTCCCTCAGGCTGGAGAGCCTTGAGTACAGGGGTTCCATCCCCAAACCCTTTGCCCTTTTACTGGGCCATCATTCAAAAGTCATCTCTTCTCACCACTCCTCCTCCCCCTCCCACTTTCTCTCCTTTACTCCCTCCCTCCCCCATCCTTAAAATCCTATTACAAATTTTTTGGGGGGTACCAGGAATCAAACTCAGAACCTTGCACTTGCCAGGCAGGTTCTGCACTGCTGAGCTGTGTTCCCAGCCCCAGTATTACAAATTTTTTTTCAAGTACACTCATCAGACTTTCTTCCACAATACTGGGATTGAACCTAGGGCCTCACACATGCAAGGCAAATGCTCTGAGCCACACCCAACCCTTTTTATTTGACTTTGTGACAGGGTCCCACTAAGTCACCCAGGCTGGCTCTGAACTTGTGACCCCTTACTCAGCCTCCTGGGTAACTGGGATTACAGGCGTGCACCACCGCACCTGGCTATTCATCAGACTTTTAATGTAAGCCAACCTTTCAACTTTTCTATGTAAGACTTCTACAATTTCCAAATATTTTTGTTTAAAATCAAACACAAATTTTAAAACACTTGAAATTTGTGAAGACTCCTATTTTGCCAATTTTCCATGATGCATGGTTGACTTACCTATATTCTTAATTTGACAATATTGTGTAGAAACTCGCCTTGCTGAGTCTTTCTAAAGCATCTCATTAGGTTTTCAAAGAATTAATCTATCTGTTCTTTAGAATTAATCTATCTGTAATTCTTTGGTTTACTTAATATTGGAATGCTGCCATCACAGTAACAGGTACAACTAGAGCTAACAGTGGGAACAGGATTGGTAAATATAACCCTATAGGGGAGCGCAGAAGTGGATGGGGCTGGGGGCCCCAGGCCAGAGCCCACCATGGCTCAGCCACAGGTGCCCAGTGTGCTCTGCACTCAGAAGCCAGATGTGTTTTAGACAAGTGAGCTGGCTCCAGAGATAGGACAGTAAAGCCAATAGTGCTGATTATTCTTCAGATAAAAGCTGTTCTTGCCAGCCCTAACCTGGCCAGCAGGTGGCAGATGAGGCTCATGAGCCACCACTCCCTGTCAGGGATTTGGCAGGAAGTAGGGGCTCTGCCAAGGTTAGTGGCTGAGACAGACACACTCCCTTTCAACCTGTGAAACCCACATGAGACATTGGTTTCCTCCACTCTGTCGACAGCCTGGTGGCATTTTTCTCTCCAGGTGAAAGTCAGCAAAATCCAGTACCGTGATGAGGAAACTCAGGATCCCCAAACTACTGGTGTTCCCGCCTAGCTCCAAGTTTCAGTTCCCCTTCTGAAGAGGAAGGGGCTAATGCCTGTTCTGTTGAGTTGTCCTGAGTGATCAAAGTTGCCTTTTTCTCCTCAAATGGGGGTGGATGGTTCCATAGTCCTCAAAACAGCACCCAGAGCAGAGGCAGATGTCTTCTTCAAATGCAAAGCTCCCCTGCCTGCCCTGGGCCACTGTGGCTGTGGAGGCCCCTGCTGGCTGCCTGGAATTGTCAGTGGCTGCCTTTCACGGTAGACAGCAGGGGGGCACAGGGCCCCTGCCACTTACAGCCGGTCCTGTGCTAACAGCCTGTGTTGTCATCCATTAGATCTGACTCCAGGGAGCTGGCTGTCTGGGTCTGAATGACACCTCCAGGGACAGCAGCTGTAAACTGGGATACTTTGGTACCCGCCACTCCCAAACATCACCCCAGGGGGGGCTAATGAGAGGGGCCACGTGCAAGGACATGGGCCAGGCGCAGGGAAGGACAGTGGCTCTCTTCCTGCTGCACCCCAGGCCAGCCCCTCCTGCACAGGCTGAGCTGTGTTGTGGAGGTCCTTGAGATCTGTAGAGGACCTGCAGGACTGGGAATGGACAGGGGAGGACCAGCGCCCTGCTCTCCTTCCTGCACATGGACACTCGGGCTCTGGCTGTAGAGCAAAGCTGGCCCTGCTGAGAGGACTGTGATACAGAATCACACTGCAGAGACTGATACAGAGCAAGGGGTAGAGGACAGGGTGGCCTGGGGGATGGGGTGTCAGAGTCCACTGTACAGGTTCTCCAGCAACGGGGCTGGAGCTCCTTGTGGAGCTCTATGTCCCCACCCCAGGACCCCCAGCCCTCTGAGATGCCATTTGGTGAACCCCACTTGACACAGCCAAAGAACGAGGCAAAAGGATGCACCATGCTGTGAAGAGTGCATTTAATAAAGAGTGTGATGGCTCCTGGTGGCTCACAGCTCCAGGCACCATGGGGCAGCAGCTCTGAGACGACCTGGATGACGGGCTAATAGCCGTCCTAGTCATGTCCCCTTTGACGCCCACCTGACCCTGTGTAGTTGGAGGGAACAGCAGCAGATCCTGCCTGGGTGTAGGGGTCCCTGCAGTCCCATGGGTGACAGGATCTGTGTCCAAGCACCTGTCATGCCGTGGGCCCAGGCAGGGCTTCTGGCTCAGCCTGCGGAGTGCACCCGTCTGGTCCTTTCACTTTGGGACTCTGCCACCTTGGGCCCCAACAGTCAGGGTCCCCAGCGTGGAAAAGAACTCCTCCATCTCCTTCTGCAGTAGCTGGTTCCGGCGCTCTGCATCCTCCCGCGCCCGCTCTGAGTTTCGCAGCTTGATCTCCAGCATGGAGTGCTTCTTCCTCTCCTGATCCAGCTCCTCCTCCAGCTGCGACAGCTGTGCCCTCAGCTCCACACTGCCCTCTTCAATGCTTAAACACCAAGAAGAGAGAGTTTCAGAGCCCAACAAGCACCACCCTCGCAAGGGTGTGCAGGGACCTGCCCATACCACATGAGCCCATGAGCCAGTGGCCACCCCACCCTGTGACCCGGAAACGCCACCTGAGGACCCACCCCCTCAGTGCTGGATAGAAGAGGCCTCTGAGTCCTCAGTGAAACCAACCACTTGCCCCACTGAGGATGGAGCGGGTACTGGCCCCGGCCTTCATGCCAGCCATGCTGTGCAGAGGTTGCATGTCTGTCCTGCCTGTCCCCTGGGACCACACACTGGCTGGAGCTTGGGACCCACTGGCTGCAACAAGCCCCATGGCGGTGACAAAACAGATTCCAATGGCCAATACAGGCTCCAGCCCAGCAGTGAGCACAGGCCTAGGGAGGGGGCCTCCTTTTGCTTAAGCAAGGATGCGCAGTCAGAAAGAGGGACCACCTGCTTCTTCCCAGTGCCCTCCTGCTGTCAGGGTCTCGGTCCCCCCGCTTCCTCTCTGTGCCACCCCTGGGTGACCATGTCCAGGCTCTTGGACCCTTGACACAGCATTTGGCCTGTTCAAAGAGCATAGTCAGCACAGAGCACCTTGGCTCCAGCTGCCCTGCAACCTGTGAGGTGCAGCCTGCAGGCCACACCATGGGCCCTGTCACAGGCCGGTTCCCTTTTGCACCCCTACAGTCCACAGAACCCTCTGGGCTCCCCCTTCAGACAGTCTGAGTCCCGCTGCTTCTTCCACCTCCATAGCTGCCTCCATGGCCCATTCCACCCACACATGGGCCTGGTCCCTGTGGCCTCCTGTCTGTGCTACCCTGGGCTCCAGTGAGCTCTCTGGCAGTCAAGTGCGCCATCAAAGGGACCAAAGTGCTCAAGATCATTCATAGGCTTCTCATTCACACCCGCCTCCATCCCAATAGGACAGAGCATCACCAGGTTGCAAGGTCCCACCTGCTGCCACTGCGGGGATGCTGCTGTGGCCCCAGGGCCCTCTCTCCCATCCCCTCTCCCTCCACCACTTCCCTGCCCTCCTCCCTCATTGACCTCCAAGCACATCGCACACTTAGGAAACCTGTTTTGGGCATGGCTTCTCTGTCTTGTCCTTACAAATGAGGGCAGAGATTTGGTCACAGCTGTGTCCCCAGCACAGTATCTACTCTAGGCAGACAGCAGGTTCTTTGGGGAAGGCTGAAGGAAAACTCCTCATGGGGACAAGAGGAGGCAAGGCGGCAAGCACACCTGTCCCCACCACCCAGACCTGGTGACTCCACAGGGATCGGTCATGTCTTCCCTAACTGCCCCACCTGCCTGTGCTCAGAGACTTTCCTCAGAGGGAGCCCCCCCAGGCCAGGATAGCTGGACATGCTTCGGTGAGGATACCGCACCTCATCTTCCTCCAGCCACCGAGCTGCAAAAACCCAGGTGGTCCAGGCTCCTGAGCCTGGAAATGATGTGCAGCACTGGGCTGAGGCCAGGACAGACAGTGACCATGGGGACACTTGGCTGGCACCTGTCAGGCTGGGGTCACAGCCAGGCAGCCTGAGGCAGAACTCCCACCAAACAGCACCTCCCCTCTGCTGGGGAGCCCTTGAGGTGGCCCCACAGCAGCCCAGTGGGAGAGGCTGGCCACCTCCAGTATCCCTGGCTAGCGCTCTGGTCACTCTTCCTGTGCCCATGTGCCCTGTGAGCTGGCCTGCAGCAGCCCGAACTTCCACGGCCACCTCTGAAGAGGCCTTAAGATGCAGACCCCATTTACAGCCTGAAATTGGCGCGATCGTCTCCTTTCTCCTCTGCACAGCCTCAGCTCACCTACTGGTCCTTCAAGCCCTGGCTGGGCACAGCCTGCCCTGGCTCTGCCTGACCCTAGGTGCCCAGGAGACACTTCCAGCAAAGCAAAGGGGCCACATGGAGCCCTCCTAGCCCTCGAGGAGCCCAGTGCAGACAGAGAAGCAGGCACACCTTCCATGGCCACTGCCATGGATGGGGTACAGAGCCTGCAGGCCCTGCTGAAGGCCCTGCAGGGTGCATGCCCATCTCCCAGCTCACACAGCTGGCATGGGCCTGGCCAGGACAGTGGGGGATGCCTGTGCCTGCTGTCCAGTGCAGCTGCCCTAGAGCTAGGGGAAAGCTCGGCCTCTCAGCCTGAGTGCCCTCTCTGCAGCAGGAAGGACCCTCTGCATAGGCATGCTGGAGGAAGAACAGGGACCCATGTGCAAGTGACCCTACATCACAACTGTGCCTGTCGCCAGGATGGAAGGGAGGGGTAACCCCACGCCTGGAAAGAGTCTCACTGCCTGGCAGGCTGGCCGGGGGCCCCTGTGGCTTGGGCCGCAGGATCCACAGCACAGCAGGGACCCCTTGAAAGTGTGACCTTGGGGCTAGGGATTTAGCTCAGCAGCACAGCGCCTGCTTGACAAGCACAAGGTTGTGAGTTGGATTCCTGGTACCGGAAAAAAATAAACAAACAAAAAAAGTGTGGCCTTGCCCAAGTCTTCAGTGGGCCTGCCAGTCACCAGCTCAAATAGACGTGCCCATCCCAACCCAGCAGCCTGGGCTGCTCCCAGGGCAGCCACGAGGTGGGGCTGGCCTGACATCACAGCCGACCCTTTACCTTCTCAGGCTCGCTTCGTACTCGGTCCGCTGGCGGCACAGTTCTGCCTTAAGCTCGGCCACCAGTCCCTGGAGCACCCGACAGCGGTGCGCAGGGTCCTGGCCAGGGCTGCTGGGGTTGCTGGGTTCCTGGCTGCTGCTGTCGCCCACCCCTGCCTCATCCAAGCCACAGGCCAGGTCAGGGGACCTATGGTCCTCGCCACTGCTGCTGGGGAGCAGGCATGGCTCGAGGGCCCACTCGGTGTGCAGGGAACTGCCAGGCGATGAATTGCTGGCCCTGCAAGCTGTGCAGCTGCTGATGGAGGCGTCGCGGGGTGATGAGGCCGGGGACCACGCTGTGCTGGCCACGCTGGCCGTGCTGGGGAAGAGGCTGGGTGGGGGCACATTGTCGTAGGTGGACAGTCTCTGTGTGGAGCCAGAGTCCTTGAGCCAATCCTCCGATGAGGCCCGGTGGTGGCCACGCAGAGATGACAGCCCATTCATGAGCCAATTCCCCCGGCTGCTGCTCCTGGAGGCCACGGGCACCTCCAGTGACACACTGCCCCCCTGTGGGCTCGCTGACCCAGGGCCCCGCTGGTGGAAGGATGATTTCCAGCCTGGCAGGGTCTGTACCCTCTTCCTGGGGCTGCCCTGACCCGTGGGAGAAGTCCTAGCGAGCACGGCGGCAGCTGGTCCATCCAGGGATGAGGTCCTGTGTGTGGGCAGACCGGGGTCCCCAGGCTCGCCGTGGCTGTCCTTGTTGACCTCCTCAGAGCCCCAGCCCACGGTGCATGGTGACCCCCCATGCAGTGATCTGGGGGGCCCTTCCAGGGTGGGCATTGTGAAGAGCTGGCTGTGTTTGCGGATGAGGATGGTCATCAGGTGCTGGACCAAGGAGGTGCCTGCAGGAAAAAGAAGAAAGGCTTTGCTGTGAGTGGCCAGAAGCAGCCAGTTTTGCTACAGCCTGGACACAAGGTGGGCACCTGTATAGCTGTCCACTCTCTGGTGGCCCAGGGCTGTCTCATATGTGTGGGCACATACATCCAAACACACACACACACACACACACACACACACACACACACACACAGTGCCTCCTGCCCAATCCCTGAGCACATAGGCCCCTTCTTTGCACTGAGAGGCAGCCCCCCGGCCCATTCTGGGGCCTTGGCTCCTGTGGCTTTGCAGGGGCAGCAGTGAAGCGGGGTGTGCAGGATGGGCCTTGGTGTCTGCCCAGCAGCCTCACCACCAAAGACCAGAGGTGGGAGGCTTGTCAAGAAGTCAGGAAGGCTGAGCACTTGGTGGACCCTGGCAGAGAAGGTAGCCAAGAACCCAGCAATTATGTAAGAATTTCTCTGCCAGACAACAAGGCAGGGCACAGCTCAGTGACCAGGTAGCCACCTTGGCATCGGACAGCTGAGGGCTTGGGCTTCCTGGCTCCAGAGAGCCTGAGCCAAAGCAGCACCCCTGTAGGGGCCAGTTTAGCTCCACGACACTCCACACCACCACGTGGTTCCACGGCCAAGCCCTGCAGGGAGCTGGGTCCTCCGCTAGTCAGGGCTGGACAATGTGGCTCCAGCCTCCAAACCCCAGCTTCTCTGTAAAACAAGGGCATCCGTCATAGCACAGGCTGCTGGTGAGGACTGACAAGGATACAAATTAAGCACTACCCATGCAGAAGATTGAGTCTAGACCCTATCTCTTACCATGCACTAAACTAAAATCAAAACAGATCAAAGATCTGAATATTAAAACAGAAACACTGACTCTGCTCTAAGCAGTTAAAACTCTTGAAGACATAGGAGTAGGCAAGGAAGGGCTTTCTGAACAACTGCAAGAGAAAAAACATCAACAGCAAATGGAGTCATATCAAATTAAAAAGCTTCTGCGCAGTAAAGGAAACAATCAAAAGAGTGAAGAGACAGCCTACAGAACAGGACAAAATTTTTGCCAGCTATGCCTCAGACAGAGGACTAACATCTAAAATATATAAAGAACTCAAGAAATTAGACCCCCAAAATAAAAGACCCAATCCAAAAAAATGGGCAACTGAACTAGACACTTGTCAGAAGTGCAAATGGTCAATAAAAATGTTCAACATCTTTTGCCATTAGAGAAATGCAAAGTAAAACAATGCAGGCATCATATCACAGTGACACATGGACACCGGTGTCTATAGTAGCATGACTCATAATAGCTAAATCTTGGAAGCAGCCTATGCATCCATCAACAGATGAATGGATAAGGAAAATGTGGTGTTTACACATTGTTATGGTTTGTATCTGCATGTCCCCTCAAAGCCTCATGCAGTCATGGGGTAGGCTTCTGGAGTTTATGACTGATTCATGGTCCAGTGTTGGAATTATGGATGTGAGTGCTACACCCCCGCTGGTGTGGGTAGTTTGCATACATTTTAAAGGAGGAAAAGAGGCTGCTTGCCACAGCTCCTCCTTTTTGCTCTTGCTGCTTTTGCTATTTTCTGTGGCCACGAACTGTGTCATGTGCCACTCTGCCTTGGAACCGGCTGAGTATGGATTAAAACTGCCACAAACTGTGAGCTAAATAAACCTTTCCTTCCTTAATTTTGGGTGTTGGGTATTTTGTCTCAGCAATGAGAAAAAAGTAACCATGACACACACCGTGGAGTATTACTCTGCCAAAAAAAGGATAAATTTGAGTCATCTGTAGGAAAATAGATGCACCTTGAGATCACAATATGAAGTGAAATAAATCAGGCACAAGTTTAAATATTGCAAGATCTCCCTTACATAAAAACCTGAAGTATAAATAATTTAAAGAGCAATTAAAAGATGAATGATAGAAAACAAGATCTTTTGCAGTGGAAAGGGGACCAAGAAGTGAAAGGAGGGAAGAAGAAAGGGAGGGAGAGGGGGAGTAAAAAGAATTAAAATGCATTATGTATATGTACCAACTTTCCACAGTGAATGCACTTATGCGCTGCAGACATGTACTAATAAACTGTAAAAAAATAAAAAGCACTAATATTAAAGGGAGCTGCCACTGCTGCTTTTTTTCTTTTTTAAGACCTGGTCTTGCTACACTGCCCAGGCTAGCCCCTGGCTCCTGGCATCAGGCAATCTTCCTGCCTCAGCTTTGCTATGTTGCTTTTAAAGAATAATGTTATTATTTATCATAGAAAAGCAACAGGGTTTGCAAAGCCGTGGCATCCAAGAACCCTGGCTAATTACTTAATTGTGAAAATAAAGCAAAACCTGTGTGCAAGGCAAGAGCCCTGCCTTCTCCTCTGCTCCCGTGACCTAGGACCAGTGCCAGCCTCCGTTTCCTTTTATAGCAATCCCAAGGGTGCCGGGGTAGGTCTGAGGAGGGGTTTCCCCGCCTGAGGCAGTGCCCCGGACCAAGATGAGCCCCGATACCCAGCTCGCCTCCCAGGCACCTTCCATGATGGTCAGTGGGTCCTCCATCTGCGGCCGCAGGATGTTAGGTCCGAACACAGTCGCCAGGTTCTGCACGCTCATCTTGTTGACATCTGAGTGGGACTGCACTTCATCCAGAAACCTGCCCCGGAAGGAAAAGAAACAAGCAAACTCTGATGTCAGTTTGCAGCAAGCTGCCAGGGCCCTATCCCAGCTCGGCACTTCCTCAGCCGGGCCTTAGCCACGCCCATCCCCTCCCTGGCCCCGCCTTGTCCCACCTAGCCACGCCCCCAAGTGGCCAACCCGCTGCCCCTGTCAAGCTCGATCACGGCCATCCAAAGGGCCCTCAGAAACAAAGGCCAGGGCTCAGGGGCCAACCATCCTTGACACGGGAGAAGGACGCAGGACTTTACAGCTTGCGGTGGGGCACAGCCCCTGAAAAGCAGACAGCCATGGGCACAAGCTGTGCCAGGGCACCGGAAGACACTGAAGGGCTGTGGTCTCCTCAGATGGCAGGAAGGGCCACTCCCCGCTTCTGGAGTAACCCACTGCCCAGGACCACAAGCCCCTGAGCTCGGGGGTGTCCTCTTACACTCCCCACTGCAGGGACACCAGGCCCAGCCCCTCCAGAGGAAGGAGCCCTGAGCCAGAGCCAGAAGGGCCCCCACCCTGCCCAGGGCCACTTACTTGCAAATATATTTGAGCAGGTTGTAATTGGCCTGAGGAAGGTTGCGCACTTGCTTGGCCAGCTCCAGAGTCCCCTTGGGAAAGGAGAAAGTAACCTCACACACCGGACACGAGACCCTGCTGTCCCTGGGGTTGGGCTGGACATGGGGATAGGTCACAGCCAGGCCCCTGACCACCTCTGTCTCCTGCAGGGAGTGGCAGCCACACTGTGACCTCCACGGGAGGCTGACTTCCTTTCTGGGCGCAGGTGCAGGGTGAGCCTCTGCAGGGACAAGCAGGAATGTCTTGGCTTGCTAGTGAGGCGCACATTATTCGCCAGGTAAGAGCCCTCATCTCCCACAGGCCACAGGGAGGGCAAACTGCTTCCCTTGCCCCAGTGCCCAGGGCAGTGGACTGTGTCTGCCTCCCCCTCCTGCATCCTGAGCACCCTTAAATTCTTTCCAGAGGGGGCAGGACAGAAATAGGTGGAAGGTGTCTTTATTTCTGAGCCCCAGGCCTAGGTGGCCGGAGCCAAGCATGGGAGAAGGCAATGAGAGAGGAGCATCCACCATGACATGGCCACAGCTGGGCACCCTGGACTAATGTGGCATTTAGGGGGCACCTGGCCCTTTCAGACACTGAGGTCTAGACACAGGGTAGAGTGGGGACACAGAGGGTAGGATGCTCCGGCCACCCTCCTCAAAACAGAGAATGATGCCCTCACCAGCCAAAGACAGACCAGGATGCCCCAACTCGCTCCCCCAAAGACACACACACACACACACACACACACACACACACAGGAAAGATGCTCCGGGCCCCTTTCCTCCCACAACCAGGCTTCTGGTCAGCATACATAAGGCGCTGAAAGCTAAGGAGCTGGTGTCCTGACTCTACACGCCTGCGGCCAACCAGCCCCCGCCCTGGGATGGGTCCCCAGGGCACTGACCTCCCCTTCATCCTTGGTGAGCAGCTGGGCACAGCTGAGGAAATCCTCGTACCGAGCGAAGGGGATCACAGGCTCGGGCAGCTCCCGAAGGTACAGCTTCAGCAGGGAAGCCACAGTGTGCACATCTGTCGTGCTGGCGGGGAGGAGTAGTGTGAGGCCTGGGACACTGGAGGCTGTGTCAGTGATACACATAGCACACCCCACAGTGGCCTCAGTGGCTTCTGGCCTCAAGTCTGCAGTCAACCTCCTGGTGGCCATCCCCAGATCCCCTGCAAGGTAGCACAGAGGTGCCCACTCCCTTGGGTGGGGACAGCTCTCCCATGGCCCTTGCCAGGTGCTGCCAGCCCCAGTCTGTGCTGGCTCAGCTCCTGGGCTGGCCGTTGGTCTTGCAGTGAAGTCACAGGCAGGGCGCTGGCCTTTTGCTTGCTGTTCATACTCAGACATCTGCACTTGTCACCCTGTTTCTGGAGCAGCATGAACCCACTGCCTGGCCTCAGTCCCCTGCAGGTGGCCTGGAACTGGCCAGCCTAGAGTGGTCCCAGGCTCCGGGTCACTCTCTCCTTGGGTTCTGTTGGGCCCTGTGGCACAGTTCCTGGTCTGCAGCTGGCCTCTCCTCCAAGCTGCACCTCAGTTTGTACCTGGGCCGCTGGAAGTTCATCTGCTTCCCCAGGGCCTGTTTTAAATCCATGCCTGCCTCTCCCTCAGAGAGCCCCTCAGGAAAGACAGGCTGGGACCAGGAGGCTGTGGCCACTAAAGTGTCACCAGCCCTGTCCATGTCCCATGCCAGCCTCACTGAAATGAGCTCCGGGTCCCTTTGGCCTGACAGCTGGGATTCTGGAGCTCCACATGCCAACATGCACCTCAAAGCCATACATGCAGGGCCCCTCCCCGCCCTGCCCTGACCTCCCTACTCCACCCAGTGTGCTGTTGTCTGCCCGTCACTACCTTCACCTGGGCCACCTCGGCCGACCACACATGGGGTGCCAGGTGAAGCCCAGGGTCCCCTGTTCTCTGGGGCCCCGATGGATTCCATGGTGGCAGCAGCTGACCCAGAGAAGGATGGTAGTGAGGCAGGATGGCTAATGGGTTCCCCGCAGAAAGGCTGTGCCACCAAAAGCAGGCAGTAGGGAGATCCCCTGAGCTACTCTTGTCCTGGGCACAGCGGCCCCTCCATTCTGCAGTGCTCCTTCCCACCCCAGTCCCCGCTGGTCAGCCCCCTCACACCCTGACCGCCTCCTTCCAGGCACCTGCAGCAGTCCTTCTTCTAGGAGCTGGCCCAAGGCTTTTTCCTAAATTCCCCTCCCTCGCAGCAGCACAAAGGGGCACCTGCCAACCAGGGGGCCTCACAGCCAGGGTTGCCCAAGGGGGAAAGATCAGGGTGCAGTGGGCACAGTGATTGGTAGGCTGGCCTGGGGCACACCAGCTGCCCTCGCTGTCCACATCCCCTACAGAAGGCAGATGAACTGGCAGCCAGGGTCCCCCATCTGCAGCATTCTTCTCATCTTCTAGTTCCAAGGCTCCACAGGGGTCTCACACCCAGGGAACCCTCTGCAGCACCCACAGCAACGTGGGCAGTGGCGGGGGCTCCACAGGGACAGATATGAGACAGATTGGCTCCTGGCAGACTCCAGCCTGGCGGGCTCCTGATGCAGGAGGAGCAGGAAGAGGCTTTGTGGGGGCTGGCAGCCACAGACAGACACCCGGACTGGTGGACCGGCTGCTGCACACAGCAAGTCTGCACCCTGGGAGAGGCTCTGTCCTTCTGGTCATAAACAACACTAGGCTGAGGATCCCATCCTGGGGAACTTCTGAAAATCCAGGTGCCCAGGCTCTACCCAGGCATGCTTGTTTGCAGCCATCCCTAACCCTACAGCAGGCCCACAGGCGCAGGACAGGAGAAGTCAGGTTGGTAGCCATTCAGAGTGCACCGCAACTCCCTGAATGCCAGGATGATGGCGGAGTTTCCCAAGCCTCTGCCCTGGGCTATAAATGCAGTGGCCTTCACAAGGGGGTGGCATCTGGGATGTGGGTAAGCCCCAGGATTGGTTAGGGTGGAAAGGGGAGCAAGCAGCTGTGCCATCTTGCCACTTAGGAAGCCACCGATTGCCCAGGGGAGGCAGGGCAAAGACTTCAGCATGCCTGGTCTTGGATGCAGCCACGCCAGAACTCGGCTAGCCTGGTGGTCAGCAGATGTGCTCTTCTCTCCTGCCTGGACTGGGCCTCGCTGTGGCTGGCATCGTCCCTGAGGGGACCCGTGGCTCTGTGCTCTGGGAAGGCTGGCATGCCCACCAGCACCCATATGGATAAGCAGCTGGCCTCCACACAGTGGGCTCCCACTCGCCCAGCCCTAGCACTCACCTGTCGAAGCGTGGCTTCTCACCACAGTCGAAGGAGTCCTGCAGGCCCCGCACCAGGTCAGCCTGGCCGGGCAGGCGGAAAAGCCCCTCCTCAGTGAGCCCTCGCTCCCGGATGAAGTCCACGCATTGCTCCACCAGCATCGGGGCCAGCCGGGGGCCGTACTTCCTCTCGTGGTAGACTGTGTCCTCCAGCCGCTGCCCAAAGATCCCTGGCATAGAGAGGGGCGGGTCACACCTTTCACCACCTAGCCAATGGCAGGAGGCAGGCAGCAGGGACAACACAGGGCTGCCGGGGCCAGAGGAGGTTCTTCCCGAGGAGATGCATTAGGTACTGGGGAACACACACTGGGGGAAGCCCCAGGACCCTGGACCAGAGCAGACAGGCACGGCAGCCTGCAGATCCCATCCAGGCCAGAAACAAACAGCCTTGGGGAGCTCGCATCATACACCATGGTGGGTCAGTGACAGATTCACTGACAACCCCAACTGCAGCCAGGCCTGCAGCCTCTGAGAGCAGTGTGCAATCAGAACAAGAGTGTGCAGCTCGTGGGCAACACAGACGGTGCACAAATACAGAAAACATCATGATGCAGCATCCCTGGTCACTAGGAATGAAGTCAGAGCCAAAAGTCCCTGCCAAAAACACTGAAAAAAAATAGTGCCGCATTTGCAGAGTCCAGCATGGCAGGGCCTCAAAACAACTAAGAATAGGGTTACGTGTCAGAGATGCCAGCAGTGCCACTTTGGGGATAAGGACTGAGGTCCCCGCACCCCATGTGTGCAGCAGCACTGCTCACAACAGTGCCCAAGAACCCATCATGGCAGATGGGTGGTAATATCAGGTCTACAAACAGGACACGAGCAGGTTTAAAAGTCAAGAGGTTCTGACTGATGCCCAGACACCAGCGAAACCTGAGGACCTGGGGACATTACATACGACAGCCACTGGCATTCACGAAAGGGCAAATACACCTGACGTGATCCACCAGACGGTTGAAAATGAGAGACACTGGAGATGAGGAATAAGGAGTTAGGGGTTAATGGGGACCAAGTTTCATGAAAACATCCTAGAGTTCGGTAACTAGGCACAGTGGCGTATGCCTAGAATCCTAGCATTTATGGGGGCCTAGACAGGAGGATCCCAAGTTCAAGCCCCATTTAGGCAACTCAGAGAGACCCTGTCTCAAAAAATTAAAAAAAGCCTAAGGATGTAGCTCAGTAGTAACCCCTGGGTTCAATCCCCAGTACCACCCTACCCCCAAAATTCTGGAGGTGGATGGTGGTGATGGATGTCCATGGATTGAATGCCACTGAACTGTCCACCTTCAAAGGGGTTCCTAAAGTGGTAGAGTATCCATTTATGTGCAGTTAAAATAACAAAATTGATTGGTGCCATCAGGACAGGACATGGCTGTGGGTGGGAGTTAGGAGACCAGAGGGCACTCCAGGGCTTCGGTGGTGCTGGTAATGCTGTTTCCAGACCAAAGTCACATCAGGAAGGAAAGCTCCGAAACATCTAATGCACAAGACAGAGCAGCCAATGAGCAACAGAAGACAGAGAGAAAGAAAGAAGGCTGAAGAAGTCTGGCTGAGAAAACACGTACTAAACATGTGACTGGCTCCAAAGGCTCCTCAGAGCACAGGCAGAGGGGAAGGAGCTGAGACTGGTAAGGCTCTGTACTCCAGACTCTTTGGTACAGGAGAAAAGGAATCCCTATTCCTGAGCTCTGTGAGGTCTCTGGAATTCGAGGCATGGCTCAGATCCACAATGCGGACACCTTCCTGCAGGGTGGCTTTGGGGTGTGCCAAGGGCACGGTGCCCAAACTTGACACTGTCCATGTGGCTTCTGAGGATGCAGTTGGTGAGCCAACCAGTGAGGGGCTGCATCTGGCCTCTAGCAGCTATGTCACTCCTCCACAAGGGCTGTTGTGACTTACGCTATATCAGTCCCAGTCCTGGAGACACCTGCTGAGCATGTGTAAGGCCCTGGGTTCCATCCCTAGCAGCCCCCAAAACAGGTCAGTCCCTAATATGGTGCCTGGGACACAGCAGGACTCATTCGGCTCCTCCCATTGCTAGAACCAAAGACAAAGGCCATAGAATTATGAAAGGGAAGCTCCCTTTCTAGAAGGACACCCATGTGTCATCAGGGTGAACACTAGCAGATGCCATCAGAGCATTTGTGTGCACTGTGCATGTGCTTTACCCTTGGGTTGTGTGCACATACATGCATGTGTGTTCACAATGTGCATGGGGCATGTGTGTGCACATACACATATGTGTGGGGAGGCACACTGAGGTTGCTGGCACACAGCACTGTCTTGAGCACTGCACACACACAGCCATATCAAATCCCAGGCAGTGCGGTGACTCTGGGACTATGACCATCACCAGCACTACCTTGGCTGTTCAGGGGGGTAAACAGAGGCTTTAGGGTGGGAGACAGTGCCCCCATCCACCTTGCAGGGTCAAGGTTTGGGCCCAAGAACTCTGGCTGCAGGTGCAAAGAATGTCCCAGATCACCCTTGCTGCCCACACTTGTGTGCAGACCCCTAAGTGAGCCCATGTGTCCCCATCTTTTCTCAAAGCAAGTCCCCAGGACCAGGGTCAGCTGGGCCACCTGCACAGGTAGCAGAGGTGGCAGCACTGGCCAGGAGGGGAAGCTGTTGCCCCTGGGACTTGGTGGGTGAATCCCACCAGCCTGCCCCAGAGCCTAGGGCGCAGGGTTGGCACTGCCATGAGGCCAGCACTCCAGCTGCTTGAGCTGCAGGGAGAACCCCTCACAATGGAGCTCCCCTAGCCCTCCTGCCAACACCTGGCCCAGCAGGTCTGCTGGATCCGGTTGCTGGCAACGCCACCAGGCTGTGGTTCCTCCAGGACTCGGCCCACACTACACAAAGCGCCTGAAGGTAAGGGCAGGGCTGCCCCTCTGGGAATGAACCTACACGTGCACTCAGAACCTCTGCCCAACAGGCGCGCCCCGCTGGCTCCCCTCTCCAGGAAGATGGAGCAGGCTCAAGGAGCCACAGTCCTGGTTGTCACCTGTACCCCAGGTGACCTAAGCCTCTGTCTTTGCCACTGTACAGGGCTGTAGATCAGCTCCACACAGCAACCCTCCAGGGCTGCCTGGGGAGGCCGCCCAGGACCAGCAGGAAAGGGAGGCGCTGGGATTCCCTTTGGAGTGAATCCGGCTGCGTAGGCTGGGCTTGGCTGGGCCATCGCCTGCCTGAGCTCTCTGCAGGGTGGCAGGGAGGCCGCAGACGCCCACACTCTCCAGGGAGCCACAGAGCTGGGTAATTCTGGTTTCCCTCCTGACCCCAGTCCTCCCTGCCCTGAGTCAGGACGCCTGGCATCCACCTCACCTTTGTCCACCCACGCATGGAGGGACTGTCCCACAGCTGACCCTGTCACTCCCCAGGCCCGGCCCTGGATACCGCACAGCCTGCGCCTTGGGCTTGGAGCACAGATCTCACCTGGATCCCTCCATTTCCTCACGCTCCCCGAAGAAACAGAAGGGATGGTGTCGGGATATAGAGGGCCAGGCCTCCGGCAGAGGGGATCCTCCCCGCTGGATGGTGGCTTTCTGAGGCCTAAGGAGTGGCACCAGGCCAGGGGTCACAGTCCCGGGGAGCTCCCCTCCTGCGCAGCCCTCGACGGTGGGGGATGGGAACGGACCTCTCGCCGAGTGTGCGCCTCTTGCTCTGGTCCGATGGCCTCAGCACTGCCCCGGAGGGAGACTGGAGGGGGACCTGCCAGCCTTGGCCTCCGCCCAGTCACCCCCGCGCCCCGGCCCTCGCCCCCCATGCCCTACCTGCGGCGGCGGGTGCGCAGCAGGCCGGCAGGCGGCAGGGCGG